AACTTTCCGAAAAAACAGAGCAATTGTCTGATACTGTAAATGGCAACTAGTTCTGTCATCATATAATTCGATTTGATTTAATTAGAAACTGTTTAATCGTGCTATGATTTGAATTGAAGTTGAGCTTTGGTAAATAATTATTCGGGCTTTTTCCAGCTTGTAATCGCAAGGCTTAGGCTACTGAATGGATTGATAAAATTATATCATAAAACTCTGAATGAAAGAATAATTATGAACAATTTTCAAAAGCCTGCCGCATGGACATTCTTAGTTACTTATTGTTTGTTTGTTGCTTGTTTTGAAAATTCAGGAATGACTTGTGAAAATATAGAAATAGCAGACATTTGCCAGAAGAAGGACAAGAATTCATGAGAAAAAAAGCATTTGTTCACGGAGATAAACGACTGATACGACAAAAACAAACATAACTATCGACAAAGAACGTTCGAATCGTTGACTGCCATAATGATGAAGGAAATAATGAAATAACCTAAGTAATTTTCAAAGGTAGAGTTGGAAAGTTAAGAAGCGCACAAGGGTGGAAGTGTGATGACTATCTAAGTAGCAAATATGGTTGCTACAAGTAATTGCGAGTTCATGAAATACTTGTGAGTTTTGATAGGTGGAATAGAGGTCTTTGATCTACTATATGGTAAGTCGTGTAAATACATATATTATAGGATTTAGTATAGGCCACAGATGCTTCGAACCGCCCCTACGATTCTGACTGTAAGGCGAATAGGTGGCGCATCCCTCACACGAGATGGATTAATTCAAAAATTCAAAAGACCTCAAGACTGGATTTTTCTGAAGATTTTGGAGAATGTTATAGAATGAGAGTTTGAATAAATAGTTTCGTCATAGTTCAGGGAATTCACTATTGTAAATAAATAAATAAATAAGCATATACACAGTATAACAGATGTCTGGCGTGTTCCTGTTCCTTGAAAGCATGTAATAATTGAAATTGACATGGCTTTACATAATTAAAAGTAAATACAAATGATTATAGGAATTTTTCAGCGTTGTTTCTTCTAGAAATCCCTGTGAGTAGTAGAAAGGGAATAAATACGGCCTGGTATAAAATGGCGTTAATAATAACAGACAAAAAATTCCTCTAGAATCTCAGAAATAAAACTGAAACCCTCTAAGTTATAAATAGCTATAAGTATCATAAAAAATAAAAAATTATTCTGGAAATTGCAGAAGTTAGAGTGGAAATTCGCAAAGCCTGGTGATATTGGAAAAGAAAAAAAACAAAGTTGAGGATCAGGGAAGCAGTCTCTTAAGAGGTGTCGGTAGATAGATTCGGAATAGTTTAGGCTAGACGTAGATGTAAATAATCATAACTAACATTTACTGGAGATTATAGACAGATAACGGTAGTGATGCACGTTAACTGTAATTGGTTATAAGTAAATATATTGAGGGATTTCAAAAGGTAAGAACGAGAATACTGTTAACTATGAATACCCATAAGTTATTATAATTGTAGCAAAATCCCCAGTGATTCAGCTAGGTAAAACGGCAGTCTAAAAAGGCGCGATAAAAAGTATCTTAGGTGGTATAAGTCTCCAAAAGGTATCGTGAGGTAGACGATGAGTAAAGTAGATTACAGAGTGAGGTCAGGCATAAGAGGGACACACCGATGCACCACTGTTTTGTGGCGGTAGACGGGGGCAGTGGATGGACGTGGACCGGTTTTTCAATCGACAATGGCCATCCTGTGGCCAATGTCTGAGCCCAGCAACTGACGGCTAGGTTATTTTAGGAGTTTTACAGATCGAAAAACTTTGATTGGTAGCGCCATTCCATTTAATTTGGAGGTTGTAAAGTTGAATTCCACAGCCTCATTGGAAAGGGTGTTTATTCAAAACCGCTCCCATGCGATCGGCGAAGATTACGCCGAAAGCTGGTCTTTGCGCTGACTTCGCAACACCCCAGCTAGATCACGTTTGGGAATAACCAGTTTAAAAGCAATCGATTGCTAAGTTCTACAGGGATCCCTTCATCAATCAATCGAGCGATCAATCGATATGCGTCAAGAAACTTGGAAATATGACCGAGGCCATGCATGAGCGGGGCGGTGGGCCTTTGGTGACCTTTGAGTGACTCACGCGAAGGCGTGGGACACTTCGCTTCCCACTCTCCACAGAATCTTCCCACTTGGTGAATTCAGTTCACCTCGGTAAACAGGTGCTCTAGGAGGGAATCCCCAACTTCTAATTGCACCTGACCTACCAATAGTGATTCTTGAATGCTTCTCGAGTATGCGCCATGCATTTGTCTTCCTTGCCGGGTTGTCGGGGCAAATCAATACATTTAATGCCCTTATCAATTCTTATCTGTTGTCGACATCCTTCGTTAATGACCATGAATGTTCCCATCACCCCTCCGGTATTCCTCCCAAATTTGATCTCCTTGGACCCACTACACATATCGTAAGGATACCACGAATAAATAAGCAAATAAATAAATAAATAAACACAGGCATATCTCGCCAGTGATGTAAAGTAGGAGAGTAGCCGTTTCGCTGTATTCACAACCATCAATGGGCAATTCGTTTATTTTAATTACCAGTACAAATACAGTATCAACGATTGACGTAGTCATTTACTATACTTAACCACTTTACTACTTACTTATTTATTTACTTTATCTGATATCAGGTGATATTAAGAGACATATTGATAGTTATATTCATCAAATGTAAGTTTAGCTTTGTTAAATAGTGGCATTATACAAGCAATTATAAAATCAGGTAAATATGAGGCAGGTATCAAACATGCAGCGAAAAAGATGACTTCCATCCAGCTTAGATCACTATAGTCGTCTGGTGGCCTGAATCGGTGGTTTTTGAAATCCACAAGGCCCTTGCATTACTAAGGACTGGGTGGTATGCCTTCAACGGAAAGTTTGGGTGCAAGTAGATGACACTTGTGCGTGCTGTCGCGTGGCGTACTCAGAGACGACAAGATAGCTTTTATCGACTACTACCCTGTTCTTTACATATCGATTCTTGGATTAGCAAATGGAGCCCATGGGTGGTAACTGGCGTAGTGGGGCGAGCAACACATTTGAAATCTATTCATTTCAATGGAGCCATTAGGACGAATACACGAATACTTGCTGCCCATAGCTTTTGACTGCATTAGCCTCCTGGAGTCTTAACCGAATCCCATAGTGGAAGATACTACTTGTAGGGATAGGATGTCTGGCAGAACCAAGCTCATGTCGAGCCACAACAAGGAAACCAGAGGTATTTGTTGGTGCGACCGCTCTCGTACAGGTAGTCGAGCCACATGCTCATGCTCAGTACCAGAATGACAAATCGAGTCAAGCCCACACTCTCAGTTGGGCCGTATTCTGTGAGTTTGAGCCGTATAGCAAATTAATGGAATCGAACCTTTTGGAAATTCTTCCAAGTGTTGTGATCACAGCGTAAACTATCCAATATTGTAGCCAATATCGAGCTCCTTCAAGTTGTTCGTCATTCAGGACTAATACGGTGCATATAGCAGGACCAATTAATACCTGATGCTTTAGGCATCAAAGAAATAAACACAAGCTTTATCAAAACATGAACCTAAGACGCTAACCCGGGTATGGATCCTTCTCCCCGAAAATCGTGGCGCGCCCGCGGCACCCGATTGCGAGCAGTCGCGCGCGCTGTGAAGAGAAAGGTGTGAATCTTCAGTAGAAGGATAGCGGTAGCCGTCGCGGAATCACTCCCACTTGCCGCGAAAATTCGGCGAGAAGTCCGTAACCCGTCTATCATCGCTGAGGTTGATTCCGTTATCGTGCGGCCCAACCGGGCTGAATGGGACGCGGCGAGAAATCACTGTAGTATTTGTGATGATTGAGAAAATTACCACGAAAGAATGCATAATAGCTAGAGGATCTTGACGAACAACCAAGACGAAAAGAGTAAAGCACATTCCATAGAAAAAATGTTCTCTTCG